CCTTAAACTTTTCTTTGTTTCTTCTACCCTCGACAAATCCGTTACGACGTCAATCTCATTCTGTTTATTCGGTCATTGCTCTTCAGATTTCAATGGCTCATACAACTGCATCACTCGGTAAAACAGCGCATATCGTTCGGGAACTCAACAATTTATTTTCAAACACAACGAATATAATACAACTGGAAAAAATAATTCCAAATCTTGGCTTAGTACAATCTTTTCTATCAAAATTGCACTGTATCATTAATATATATGAAAGACAAGGCCATAAGATCGATCAACAAACGGATTGTCTTGAACAACTAAAAGAATTTAAAAAAATAATTGAAGAAATTATTAACAGACCTACACACGATTTTAGAAGACTCGTAGCAATTGGTCATTATGTCTCAGCAATTCCACAAAGTTATAAGTTACTTCTTGAATTCGGTCAAACACTGGAAGAAATTAATGAAATGATAGCAAGGAAAGTGGAAAACAGTTTGACGGAAAATAAGAAAGAAATTGGTACTTTAATCGTTCTAGGTATTGACAAGAAAATACCAAATAATATTTACTTCGATACGGCAAATCCTAATGATAATGGAAGGAAATTAAAGATTATTGAAACATACTATGGTTATTTTATTGAATATATATTGTATATTAGAGAGTCATTAGATATGATGCTCAATGATAATAATTATCGTTTAGAATTAAAAAGGTTACAATCAAAATTATTGGAAACAGAACCATCAGACATTGAAAAATATTTTGTTAAAATTAAGTCAAAGATGATGAATAATCCAGGCTATTCAACTGAAATCTTACTTGAATATCTTGCTGAAAATATAAGAATTCATATAAGTATCTCGAATAACTCCATAATTTATTACAAACATTTCATCGAAATATTTCAAGTTCCACTCAAGGCAAAGTGTATGGAATCATTAAGCAATTTAACATTTAAATTGAACACAACACCGTTTTTAGATTTGTTCAAAGAAGTGAACAAAGACAATTTAGTATTCAAATCGATTTATGATAAAGGCATTCAATTATACTTATCTGAATATGGAATCGCTTCAAATTCGCAAGAAAATGTATCAAACAATCGTTCTTCTGCAACTGCAAAAGACGCTTATGAACAAGTAAAAACAAAATTCAAAAGTTTATTTTCTTTCATTTCTACGGATAAAACTCTTCTCAATCAACTACGAGATTTAATCATCGATGAAAATAACTCCATTGGTACTCATTTTATCCTCGGTGATATTTATGGTCTGCGAATTAGAAATCTAGATTTCTCTGATGAGGATACCGATGTGAAATATTGTTTTAATTATCATTTTTTTAAATCCTTATCATATCCTAAATTAGATGATATTAATGGTTCATCTGAATTTAATCAACTTTTATTTTATATTCATACATGTGCCGATAAAGATGCATTGAAATTTACTGATAGTGCACATGAAGCACACCTTTGGAAATTGAAACAGCATTTTTCAAGTGTTTATAATCATGATAATTCTACAAGTTTCAATGCACTTATTGAATTTTTCAAAATGTTAATTAATATTGGAACATTTAAATTCCGTTTGGACCGTGTCAAATTGGCTATATCTAAATTAGAAAAGGATGATATAATCAAAATAAAAGCAACTTTTTTAAAAGACTGTCTCGATCTTAACACTCAAGGACGTGAAATTTATTTGCAATTAGCACGATCGTTTAGTATTGATTTAATAAAACATGTTATTATTGATAGAACGAAAATTATTAATAAATTACGTGAATATAATTCAAATTTTAATTTAGTTATAAAGTATCGAGAAACGCTAAATGCGAGTTTTGATATTGAGACTGAATTAAATTCTGGCTTTAGTATCCCATATTATTTGTCAGCAATATTAACTGCTGATCCAAACTATAATGAAGAAATAAATGGAATTTTTATGTCAATTTTATTTAAAGTTTTCACTTGTTCATCAGAAAATGATAAAGAAGTCTTTCTAAAAAACAAAAAGGATATTCGTCAAGAATTTAATAAACTGCATGAATCAGTTAAACGATTAATTGTATATTACGATGCAAGTGGTAATGGTAATTATCGTGATCATTATAAACAATTTCGAGATACATCAATTCAGCACATCTTAGATGGTTTTAGTGAAAAGAATCAAGACAGTTTGAGTGAAAGAAAAGAATGTGCAAGAGCAATTATCGATAATTTTATAAATTACAATTCAAAAAAAATCAGTCAAATTCTTGAAATAAATCAAGATTTAAAAGATGAAGTTTTGAATATATTTAATGCATTCATGAAACGAAAAGATAGCTATAATTCAGAAGCTTGGAGGAAAAATACCAGTAAATTACGTGATCAAATCGATTACTTACATGCTTATCACCGTTATAAAGAAAAAGATTTTGATGAATGGTTTAAAAGATTGAATCCTGATCAAGGCTATAAAATTATTCTAGAAAATAGAGAGACAATCAAACAAGATTTTCTAATTCATCACGAAGCATTTGAATCGCTTCAAATCAAATATCTTCAACATAATCAAACGGGTGCATTAGCTTTAATTCATGATTATTTATCGAAACCAACTGAAAAAAATGGTAGCTTATTTATTAAGATTGGCACAGGTCAAGGTAAATCGTTAGCAATAGCGGAAACAGCACGACGAATTATTGAAAACAATCGAAATGCTACAAATCCCAAAGTATTTGTTATAACTTGTTATGATCATTTAGCAAAAAGAGATCATGAAAATTATGAAAAATATTACAAACATTTTGATATCAGAACGATGTATTGTTCATCAAGTAGTTTAACAGAAGAATTTTGCAGTAAAGATATGATCTATGCTGATTTAGAAACATATTTTTCTGTTCTAAGGAAAGAAGGACATAATCGGTTGGTAAATGGGACATTGATAAAGTTACCGGACATCAAGAATACTGTTTTAATTATGGACGAATTCGATAGTCTAATATTAGATTCTGATGAAATAAGACAATATGTTCATAACTTCGATGTTCATATTGAAAATCCCAATACAAAATTTGATAGACAAGAAGATGTTGAAAAATTATTTGACAAGGAATTTATCATTGAATGCAATAAAAATTTTCCCAAAATCTTTGAACGATGGTGGAAAGACTTACTAGAAAAGAAGATAAAAGAAGACAAAAATGAACGTCAAAAGACTGTTCAAGACAGTTTGGGCAAAACTACTAATTTTGCTACATCTCTTTTGAATTATTTAAAAAAGAATAAAAAAGCACATTTTGTTCATTACTATTGGGATCCTTTAGTATTTTATTCACAATTTAAACAAGTTATTGGCTTCTCTGGAAGTATAGAAGAAAAACATCTAAGTAAATTTCAACAATTGTTCAATAATGAAAGATCACATTATTATGATATTCCACCATTTTTTGGTGAGACAAATTTGAAAAACAATCGAACGTTTTCTAATGATCCTGGTAAAGTTTATGAAAACTCTCAAGATTTTCTATATGCAATAAAAAATGAAATTCGAGGAAAATATAAAGAACAACCTATATTGATCTTTGCTGATTCATGGAAAAAACAAAATGAAGATGAATCAGATTATGAACAAATCCGTAAGATACTTTTAGAAGCACAAGGGACATTTTTAAAGGATCGTAAAATTATTGAAATTCAAACTGAAGATGCTATTGCTGAAAATATACACAAAATTGGTAAATTCGATTCAATTACTTTAGCAACACGAATTATTGGTCGTGGTGCTGATATTAAAGTAGATAAAAGTATCAAGAAAGGTTTACATTTGTTATTAACATATTATCCACCACGAGAAAATATTTTTATTCAAATGCTCGGTCGAACTGCCAGACAAGATGAAAAAGGTTCTTATTCAATCATTGTTCGAAAAGATAAAAAATTTGTTGAAGTTGCAGATGTTGTCGTTAGTCCGTATAACAAAATAATTCATGAATTAACAGAATATTTTTATCGTAGTTATACTTCACCATCGAACAACTCAAATGTTGCATTGAAATGGGTTTTGTTTTCTGAATTAATACGAACTATGAATTCAGCAGAGATTAAAAACTATAAGTTAGAACAATTACAAGAATTCATTAAAAGAAATATTTTATAATTCTTTGTTGCTATAAGAATAGAACAAACTTTCTTTGTTTCTTGTCTTCTTTTTCGTAAACATCATCTATAGTTCTATTTTCGCGATGAATAAAACGTGTAGGCTAGATTTAATACGTCTCTAGCTGAAGTAAAACTGAAAAGATAGAAATATATACTCTCAATAAATCATCAATGGAGAAGAAGAACTGATTTATTCTTTGATTTCATTATTTATATTTTAGATAAAATGTCGTCGTTAAATCTTGATCTCGAAGAAATTCGACAAATTGTATTGAAATCAAATAATGACATAAAGAAGATCTCAACTAAAGTCAAAGAACAAAATCATGATGAAAGTGAAGAATTCGATTTTGCGGATATCAAACAAGCGTTCCAAAATAATCTTCAATCTCTCAAGAACAAACTCAATTCATTACCAACAAGTGACATAGAAGATGAATCAATACCAGTTTTTCATTCAACATTAAATCAATTAGAACCTCTTTTGGAAAAAATTAGATCCGATCCAATTGATGATGACGTTTTTTCAATCCTAAGATTTCCCAGGTATACAGAACAATCGAGTTCTACAATTATAATAAATGAAAATTCACAAGAGAGTATCCCAATTCTTCGCATGGATCGACATCCTTTAGAAAGAAATTTGGAGTCCGAGCAAGACACAGAAATGAATCATCAACTAAATTTCCATGCACAACTTTCGAAAGATTTAAAATTTATGGAAAAACAAGCTCGTCAACTGAAAACTATTGCTGATGAATATTATCAACGAAAACTTCGTAAATTTTTTACTAAATTACAATCAAAGCATGATAATGATTGTGAAAGTTACAAACAACGAAAAACTATTTATACAGATTTAAAAGAATATTCCAAATATTGTGTGGAGTTATATAAATATTGTGTGGAGTCTAATCAATCATTGGAACAATTGAGAAAAGACACGAACAGTAATCTAAAAGTTACATATCGTCGAAAATTAAAAGATGATCTTCAATTTCGACAATGTTTTCATATATTTTTAGTTCAATTTCAAAAAGATCTATTCCATATGGTGCTTAGTGAATCGAAAGATTATATTCCAAGATCAAGTTATCTTATTGATTGTTTAAAAAATGATAAATATTATAATTTATATGTGGATCAAGAACAATTAGGCTTAATCTATGAATTTGTAAGAAATATATATTATTCGGCTTCTCTTGAGAAACTTCACAATTGTATTTCAATTAAAACTCCATATTTAAAATTAATCGTCGCCTGTACCAATGACCCTATTCATGCAAACTATTATATAAATGAATTAAAAGAATTTTATTTAGTTTTTGTAAGAGATTCTATATTGAGTTTAAAGGAAGAAGATCAAGAAATCATTGAATCAGATGAAACAGTTCAATCATTATTTGATGAAATGAAAAAATTTTATGAACAAAAGATCAAAATCATTCAAAACTCCGAAAAAGTGACGAAAAATCTTTTTATTCGACAATTTCGAGGTACAACTTGGGATGAGAAACTAATAAATGATCGAACTGTATCAAGTCAGAATACGGATGAGGAGGAATCAACCTCAACACAAGAGGATACAGCCGATTCAGATGAACATTTCGATGCCGAAAATAATTTAATGAATACAGAAGGTTCACCTGAAGACAGTGTTGATTTATTTCAACAAAGTGAAGCACTCAAAAAGAAAAAACCAAGTTTAAAACTTTATTTGAAGAAATCTATAGAATTATTAAATAAATCGATTGCAATCGATAAATCTTTAATTGATTCCAGTATCCGTAATAATCAAGAAAAATCCAATGCTAAAGATCAATTAAGAAGGAAAATTGAATTTCGAGCATTAATCTATCTTGATATGGCGAACAAATATAAGTTTCCTTGTTTTGAAAAATTTAGTTGCTTTAATCAATCGAAATATGATTTTATTGAATATGATAAACAAATGACAGATGAAACAAATGTTCAATTTAATAAAAAAAATTTCATTCATTTATTCAGACAAGCATTCGCAGTCGATGATATTTCTTCAATGAAATTATACAATAACGTATTACAAATAAATCCGTATTTCTTCGAAGCACAATATCAAAAATTATTGAAATTCTATGAATTGAATGATTGTGAAATATCTCATATACATGAAACTTTTACTGAATTAGTTAAATCAAATAAACCAATTGTAGACTTATTCGAAGCTCTTATTGATGTCAAAGTCTGTCATGATGATAAGAAAAATGGACAAACATCAGTATTTTTTAATAAAATTTTTAAAATCGAAATTAATGATGAAAACGAAGAGTTGTATATACAATTCAGCAAAACAAAATATTCTACTGAAATAAAATTAAATAAAAAAAAGCAATTGATCAAACTATTAAAACATGGTCAAAAACACATAATCATAGTAAAGACAAATCCAGACAAATTATCAAAACTTAAATGTCATTTATCAAACCTTGATTTTAATGACTTACTAACAACTGCATCAAACTCTATAGAAGGAACATTTGCTCATTTGCTTCGATCAGACAACCCAGTTGAAGATTTATTTGATATTCTCATTCCGATATATTTAAAACAGTGTCATGATAGGAATAATCGCAAATCGTTGACATTTTTCGACAAAATTTTGAAAATCAAAGTTAAAAACAATCAAAACAAATCATTGTACTTACATTTTAGTAAAACACAATACTCTGATCAAGTGAAGTATAATAATGAAGAACAATTGATCAATTTATTAAAATACGGATCAGGGGGTATGATAAAAATGAAGAAAACTTCAAATAAATCATCGAAACTTAAATATCAATTATCAAACTCCGATTTCGAACAATTTATACGAAGTTTAATCAATCGAATTGATAAACAAGAACCGAAGTTTTTGAAATTAATTCAATTATTCAAAGAATTAGAATCAGTTAATGAAAATGAATATCAGAAATTAGATGAAACATTTCGAATAATTTTACCCGAGACGCGATTTACATTAATCAAATGCACAAACAATTCCAATCATTGTCAAACGATTTGCGAAATATCAAGATCAATCGAAGAATTTGAAAGTTTGAACAATCCTAAAAAGCTAAGCATTCTTCAACTAAAGTTCCAGCGGGCGAAAATTTATCGAAAAAATCTCTACTTTAATTTGGAAGAACTGGAATTTTTCGATATTTTAAATTATCAAAAAACAAATCGTGATCATAATCCGATGATTTATTATCGTTTATCATATTTATCTAAACAAAAAGGTGATTTACAAATGTCCATTCATTATATCAATTTAGCATCTAAAAAATATAATGAAAAAAGCAATAAGAAAATCTTTAAAGAAATTGAAAAATTTAAATCCGATTTATTGAAATTGGAAAATGTTCAAACTGATGACTTAGCATTTTTCGATAAGAATAAAATGAATTTATTTAAGATATTCAATTTAATAACAAAATTTAATTTTCAATCATATTCATATGTTACACTTGGATTTCATTTATTTACAGATGAATTAATTAATTGTCTATTTTATCATTTAATTGAAGAACATGATGTTGAAGAATATTTAAAATATCACGATAATACTCTGACAAAAACCTATCGTGAATTACATGAAGAATCCGTGTCCGAGGAGGAATTTATTAACAAATTTAATGAAAAATTTAAAACAAATTTCAAATGTTTCTTCGTAGAGGAAGGAATTGATAGTCGTATGCTTACTTATACAAATAATCAAGTCCCAATAGTTTTGATAAAAACTTCTAATTTTTATACAACAATCAAAGAAGTGAATTATTTTATGTTCTTAACTGTTCTACTAACAACTTATGATGCTAAATCTGATTTGAAATCTGTCTGCTCAATATTTCTCAACAACGAAATTAGTAAAAATATCCTTACAGATGCGAAGGAAAACCAAAATATCGAAAGATTTATTCAGGCAATGATTGAATGTAAAAATATGAAGGTTTTCAATGAAGAAATTATTTATTATTTAAAAACAGATAATTATAATCAATATTGTCTGGATTTTTGGTCATTAATTGCCGATCTGGACTATAATCTTGTTTTAACAGATATATTAAATGATTTTAAGGAATTATTTATTGAATCGATTGAAGAGTATAGAACAGATAAAGAAAAAGAACATAAATCAGCATTAGAATTAATTGATGACATAATTGAAGAAAATGCTAGGACACAAAAATTTTGGAATTTACTCAATAAATTAAAAGAAGAAATTATCAAAAGTTTAAGTATTTATGAAAATGTTTCATCAAAATCTGATAAACGAAAGAAATTAATGGAGATTATAATATCAACCGATGAAATCGATGATAAATTTCAAGAAATCATATCAGTTGATTGTTTTCAAATTGATCTGAACTTTACAGATGCAAGCGAAGAACAATCATTTTATCAATATATAAAAACAAGTCAAGAAAGTGAAATTCCATTTCAACTTTTATCACTCATTCAGGATGCCTTATCCGCACCAGAAATTAATATCCAAAATTCAGTAATAATTGTTAAGGGCTACAATATATTTTTCAGCGATATTATTGAAAATATACAAACAAAAATACCAGATTTAAATATAAAAGAAGTTCAGTTTTATGGTACAAACGTATTTATAGATATGTCATTGAATAATGAATGTTGGTATGGAATTAATTTAATTATTGGTTCGGATATAATTGATTTTATTAAAGATGATAAATTAAATACGAAAATAACAATAAATTTAACGGGAAAGAAAGGTTCTGATGGTAATAATGCTAAACATCAACCAAATGCAACAAGAGAAAGTGAAGATGGGTTAGACGGTTTACCTGGTGAAAATGGTCAAGTTGGTGGAAATGGTGGGAATATTTATTTCATCGTCAAAAAACAACTTAAAAGACGAGAAAATATAGAAAAATTAACCACATCGGGAGGTGATGGCGGTCAAGGTGGAAATGGTGGAAATGGAGGTGATGGACAAAATGGAAAGATTGGTGATGATGCTACAGAAGGAAATGGATTACCTACTCTATATCGTGGTTACTATCTTAGTAGAGGAAAACCAGGTACAAGAGGTGGAGATGGTGGTCAAGGAGGTGATGCGGGTTTTGGTGGATTTGGTGGACATCCTGGTATAGTTTATATTGAAGAAAACCAAACAAAAATTAACGATGCCCTTAATCCTGACAAAATTGAATCTATTGACAAATCGAATATAAGCGCAGAACATGGAGAACATGGTGAAGGCGGAAAAAGTGGTGTTGGAGGATCTGATGGTTTGGATGTTCTAGAATATAGATATCACAATTTTGGGAAGAAGAAAATCTATTATGGATATATTAAAATAACCAAAGTTCAGTGGGGTTTTTTCACTTATACTGTTGAATTCATCTATGAAGAAAGACCTAAGAAGAAACCTGGTATCAGTGGAAATCAAGGAAAAGCTGCCGATCAACAAATCAACTCCGGAAAAATCCGTCGAAAAAGTGAAGACAAAGAAAAATCCAATGAACAACAAATTAAAAATCAATTAAATCAATTAATTCATAATAATAATGAAAGAACAAATAATATTTCCAATAACATAACACATTCCATATACTTACTACAAGATCAAAAAGAAGAGTTGTTAAATGAACGTGATACACAAGTCAAAACACATCAATTATCCAATTCATTACTTAAAAAAGCTTTTGCAACCGCTCATAAATCGTTCAAATTAAATATGGAAAATACTAAATCCAAAACAGAAAATAATATTATAAGAACACCGGATACGAATGCTAATCACGATAACAAATCAACAATTCAATCAGAATTATCTGTTGATGAACATCCCAAGGAAAATATTCAATTCAAAACATGTGATCCGATCATTCAAAGGTTAACAGAATCTTACAATCCGGAAAAAGATCGTTTAATAAAATTCTTGGACGAGAACATAAAAGAAAAAGACGATAAAATTATATTATTAAAAAGAAAAGGAAAACATATTTTATTCAAAATCGACATTGATAGTATGAATGATTCCTTTATTACTGATAGAAATGAAATAAATCAAATCAACTTATTACATTTAAATGGAACTCGATTAAGCACAATGGATGGAGATTTAATCAATCAAGATTTTTCTTTGTTAAGGAACAGGTACAAAAATGCTCTCTATTATTGTAATAGTAAACAACACGCACCATTCGTATTAAAACAATACTTGGATGATCTCAAAAAGTTACCAAAAGAGAAAAAGTCATTTCTACGAACAAGACACAAACTTAATCAATTGAATGTTGATACATTCATCAATGAAATTTGTTTGGAATATGGAAATGAAGAATTAATCAAATGGAAAATGACAAAGTTTGCTCAAATCATTAAATCTGATGGGCTTCAAGGTACTAAGGATTTCGATTCATTCGATATGAATAATTTTATCAAGCAAAATGATTTTCCAATTGACGAAGTCAATGCGTATGAAACTCATCTAACTAATCTCTTTTTAAATGAACAAAATTTAGAAATTTTTAAAGAAATCTCCCGTATTTTAATCGAATCAAAATTATCAATAAAACGCATTGAAAGAAGTCAAAATTTCCTAACATTATTATTTAATTTGTTACAAAGCAAGAAGATTTTTAAAGAATTCAAACTAAACGATTGTACACCTATTTATCATCCGAAAAATGAGCCCATAAATATGTATGTAATTGAACAATTAATGTATCAATTTCTGCAATCGAAAGATAAAAATCTTGAATTACTCGCAAGAATATTCAATTGTTTTCGAAAAATCGTTGAAAAGGAATCCGATGAGATCCTTTGTAAGAAAAAGATTGAAAATTTTCTCGAGTTTATCAGCGAATGTCTACTTCTCATTCGTGTTGATTCTAATCAAGGATCATTATTACATAAAATGAAAAGAGATTTAAATTTCATTCAAATCAATTGTTCATCCGATTTATTTCACAATTTATTCGACCAATTAGAATTAATTCTTTTAATACGAATAGAACAATTCAAACAATTAGAAAACTATACGAATAAAATCGAATTCTATTTTCAACAAAAACAGAATGATATTGATCAAGATATTCAAATCATTAATCATATAAAAAAGAATAGAAAAGTCGATATTTTTCGATTATTTAAACAACATCTCTCATCAAACCAAATGAATTTCGAAAACATTACAGAAATTGAAGAATTTAGAAACAGTTTATATCTAACGGAAGAATTCAAAGAGAAAATCAAAATTATTCTTAAAGATTTCTATAATTATTTAAAAAATAGTCAAGAATATACATACATTTGTGTAGTTGAAAATATACACATTTTCATAAAAAAATTGAAGTTGTTTCTCAAAGAGCAAAAAAAGAAAACCAATATGAATTTAGATAGCATTCTGATAAATAAGCAAGAATGTGAAAGCATCATTCATTTACTATGTAAAAATATGAGTTTACAAACAAATATTAACTTTTTAAAACAAATTGATACCTCTAAAGACGTAGATACTAGCGTTTTTGTTCAAAATGTTAAAGATCTCTACGAACAATTAAGAGGCCAAAAACTTGAAGATATGAACAAACAACAGGAAGGAAATTCAGATGAAATCATCGATTTATCTCAAAGTAATTACAACGAAAAGATTGGTTTTATTTACTTAATATCAGGACAATTAGATAATGCCAAAGAAATGCAAATCAAAAATGGAAATAAGATCGTTATTACCAAGAATATGGAAAATCAATATATGATTTATTTTCGTGATAATCAAAATTTTGAAGTTCGACAACATTTATTAGATAAAGAAGCTTTACTTAGAAAATTGAACGGTTTAAAGTTTGATACAGAAGTGATGTTATCCAAAGAAACTGATAAAGACATCTATAAAAATATTTATGAAGAAATTGAATCGAAAAATGGTTTTACAGAATATTCGACTGAACAAATCGAATTTTTTAACAACTTAAAAGAATTTGTTTATGAAAAATTAGATTTATTGAAAAACAAATTAGAACCAAATACTTATCAATATATTGCTAATGAAATTAATTATGTATTCGATTCAGAATCGCCAGATTTATGGTTATGTCGAACACATTTCATCTTATATAATCTCAATATTATTATTGATCTTCAAGCGAAATTCAAAAACGAATTAGAATTACCCACATCTATTGAAACACTAAGATCAGATTTGAAAGATTTGCTGACTAATCCAGTATTAAAAGATATCATCGAACATTTATTAAATGGTAAGGAGGATGGTATTATAATTATTTTCTTCAAACTCTTATCAATATTTGATCATTTATTAATCAAAATAACAAAGAAGGAATCTAATACTTCAGTTAAAGATCAAATCAAACAAATCGGTGAAAATTTATGCAACAAATTCCAACTAAAAGATGATCTAAGAGATAAGATTCTATATGAGATTATTATGAAAAACAATCAAATATTAAAACGATATTATTTTGACGAAATCTTAAACATATACGAAGAAAAAAGACAACATATTTCATCTTATATCGACTCATCACCTTTATATCAGAATAAAGACAAATGCAAAGAAAGCTTTCAAACACATTTCCAAGATTTAATTAACAATGGTTATTTAACATTGTTTGATTACATCGACGAAATCTATGTGACATCATCAAATAAATTAAAAATCTCAATGACAGACACAATCTATTCGGAATTGATGCAAATGATCAAAATTTTTTTTGATAAAATCAATGCCAACTCGGAGTTTAAGAGCTTCATTGACGAGACAGTTTTATTTCGAAATCGTCTACAAAACTACTGTGTAATATTAACAAGTGAACTTAATAATATCCCTGAGATTGCACCTATTTTGAATGAATTCAAAATAAACATGATGACTTTCGAGAAATGTTCAATAAGAAGAAATGATCAAGACAGAACTACTCAAGATCAAAATGAAATCATTCTAAGCAAAATTAGTGAAAAAGAATTTCAAATTGTCTATCGACGTTTACAAGACAATAAAATTGCTCCTTTTATTTTAAAAAAAGATCAAGATGCAGAATTGTTTCTATTGATGAATGAAACGATCACAATCGGTGATCAAACGAAATTCGAAAAACTTTATTCGATGATTAATGCAAAAAATGGATCGATTTATAAAAACAATATTTTCTTCGATGAAAAAATCTTCATTGAAATTTTCATCAATCGCATTCTGAAACACAAATCAGAATTTTCAATTGAAACTTTAACAACTTATTTCAATAGTTTTGAAATTATCTTGAAAAATTCGACTATTAATTTTAATATTTTACTTTCATTAGACGAATTTTTTCAAAATTTGATCAAAAAGGAATCAAATGAACAATTTATTGAACTATTCAATCAATTCAGTTTGTTAATTGATAAAGAATATGAAAACTTAATCGGTAATCTTGAAAATGATTTTGCAAATTTATCCGTCGGTATTAAACGCAAGAATCGTATTTTAAACATCACATTTAATTATCTATCAAAATGTTTACAAGAGAAAACGATTGAAACTATCGAATTCAAAAAGAATGATATACTCAATACAACTTTAGAAATAAAAAACATTTTACAAATACACAAACTACAGTTGTCGGATATATTACAATGCTATGATGAATTGAATGTCGCATTGATTCTTGCACCTTTGAGTTGTCTGAAAATATACAAACAACAATTAGACTTACTCAATTTAGAAATTCGATTATTTATCGAAATAGTCGATTGTTCACTACAAACTCATTTTAATCAGTTTAATAATGAATTAAAACAGACAAAATCGGTTGATCATCAATTAATATTCAATTTACTAAAGATTGTTACGGAAAACAGTACGTTGATTCTAGCAGAAAACTATCAATCGATTATGAAGAGAATTCTATTAAATTTTGAAATGACTAATGACGAATTTAACTGGCCAATGTTACAAAAAATTGAAAATCAAATCACAAAATGCGAAAAAATCCAATCAATTCGAATGGATTATCGAATGTTCATAGTTAAAATAACAAAATTCAAATTGATTTCGAAATATAAAGATGAATTAACTCGATATGAAGAAGAGAAGAAAAAATTAAATGATTTAATACAAAAAATAGTCGACTTATTTTGGTCAAATATTTCAAACAGTGATTTGCTGAACAAAGAACGAGAAAAAACTTATGTCATTCTCAATATCGAAAAATTACTAAAACTTTGCAACACTGATTTCGCCAATGCAGAATCAATCTTAATAGATTTACAAACTAAAATCAGAGGATTACAAAAAAATTCTGATAAAAAACAATTTACAAATGATATTCATATGTATTTAAATAAGAAAATTAATTCGGAATTGTACAAATTTCCAAATATCATTTTACCCATTAATCTTGATGATAATATCAAAAATAGGATTACATATATTCTTGGTAATAATTACACATATGAAGATAGTACTGCCGTATTCAAGGAATTTTCGGTTTTATTTGAAGAATCTATTGATAAATTCGATAAAAATTCTTCCAAGTACAATGAATTCTTTGAAAGTTTTAATAAAATATTTCAATATTTCTCTTGGAGATTATTAGAGTATAATCCAACGTCAAAACAAGATGTATTAAACGAAGCGATTGAAAGATTTACTGCATCAATGCAAAGGTTTAAAGATATCATTAGTAGTGAAAACATTGAACAACTAAGAGTTGAATACAATCATTTTTATGAATTTGAAAATATCTTTCATTTACGTACACATGATAATCAATTACAACAAGAATTAAACATGTTACAGAGTGATTATCAAGTAAAACGGGATATAATCGATCAAATCAAAGAAGGATGGTTGAAGAATATAAGCAATTGTTTGTCTGTCGCGAATCCATTAATAACAGAACGTGGGGAATTATATGATGATCAAATTCCTCAATTATTTCTGAAGAATATAATCGATTTACAGAACCTAAAGTCAAAAGAAAACTCTGAAGTTCTAAATGGTACAACTGATAATGCGACTGAAACAGAAGTAACGGAAGAGGGAGAAGAAGAAGAAGTGCAAATTTCAACGGAACAAATAAGTAATGCTAAGATACCCTTAGAAATGAAATTTTCAGTTTTGAATGAACTATCATGTCAAATGATAAATAAAGAAGAACAATGGAATGAGAAAAAGGGATTAATCGAAAAATTTGATTTAATAAAAGAGAAACTTTTTGATGAATATTTAAAAACCATGTTCGAACAAAGAACTGATAGATCATTAATATTCGACACATTTAAAAATTCGATTCAAATCAAACATATTAAAGAAATCATTACTCAAACTGCTGTTGATGAATGGAATCGAGAAATGTGTGATCTATCGGTTGATTTATTCCTTGTGAGTTTGCTCAAATTCTATAATTTCGATTGCGATAATTTGAAAAGTAGATTTATCTCTATCGAAAAGTCAGTCAAAGACAAACAAACTAATGACGACGATGATACTTTAACTATTTGGCAAACAGAAATCACAGAAAAGAAAAATGCGATGGAAATAATCAACTATATTCTGGCATATTCCAAAGAAAACGTTGACTCTTTTAATTTACAAACAACATTATTTGGTTCAATAAAACAATTCATTAACGATGTAAATTCTATTCAAATACTGAAATCATCAATTGATACTCTCTATTTCTTTGTTGGTTATGAAAATTTCATGCGATTAGCAGCTGTACTGCAAATGAAATTAATCAATTCAAGTCCCACGAAATTAAATCTTGAAAAGTTAGCTGAAATAAGTTCTCTATTATCAAGTACCAATAATTTTAATCGAGCAATTAAATTCTTAGAAAACTTTCATCTGGAAAACTGGCTTTTGTATTTGAATTACGACCAGATAGAAAATGATTTAAACATGATCTTTAATCGATATTTCGATCAAATGAATTTTAATGATTTGAAAATTGAAAATTTGAATCGTGTGGATGAATTTATCGAATCAGAATTTTATCAAACCAAAACCATGTATGATCAATCATTCGAGAATATATCTAAGACATTAAAACTGATCAAATTAAATCAAAAGATTAACGTAAGTGATAAAGAAATGTTCTTTCGATTTCTAAGAAGTCGATTTATTTATGAATTAAAAAAAGATTCAAATTGTTTGATTAATTTTAACGATTTACAAAAAATATTTCTGAAATATTTGACCGATACAACAATTATAAGAAAGATTATCAATTCTTTGACATGGAAATTAGATGATGAAAATCCAATAAACGATCAATTAATCATAGAAGACATTCATTCGAAAACGTTCAATAGTTTATTGCCTTATTTAATACGATTTTGGATCATTAAACAATTAGAATTGGATAAAAAAGCTTTAGAAGATGAACGAACAAAAATTATTCAATATTTCGAAATCATTAAAACTTTGTATTCAGAAGAGAAAATGTTTCAACTAATCGGTGTCATACAAGAAAAATGTAAAGATAAAAAAATAATTTCTCAAAATGTTATTGATTTATTAATAAATATGTCCAACAATGAATGGTTATTGAACGAGGATATTCTCAACATTCTTCGAACGACAGAAATCAACGAATGGGGAAAACGAATAGAAGATTATATGGAGAAAAAACGATCGATAGAAAGAGATTTTCGTGAATTGATCAATTTAATGAAAGAAGATAGAAATAGTTTGAATAAATTAATTAACGATTATTTGAACAGTGAAAATATTCTGAGTGATTTACAAGCATTGATTTCCAAACGAAAGGAAAAGATTGATTTCAATAAACCCGTCGAAAATTGGACTATAGCTGATATTCAAGAATGGGCGAAAAAAACAAGAGGAAATCGGTTATTATTATCTAAAGAAGCAGTTCAAAATACTATTGTCGTCGTTAGTCAAGGAATCAATTTATTCAGAAAATATTATCCAAGAGATACTCAAATACTTGCATTGTGGTTATTCTTAAATCCTGATTTAAATAATACAAGTATGGGATGTTTAGCACAAATTTCCACTGGTGAAGGTAAATCAATAATAGTTGCAGCATTAGCTGCAATTAAAGCATTAGGTTGTCATCGAATTGATGTTATGACAAGTTCAAATGTGTTAGCTATTCGAGATGCAAAGGAATTTCAATCGTTCTTCGAAATGTTTGGATTACAAGTTTCGAATAATTGTGATATGTTTTGTGAACAAGGTGATGGAAAACAATCAGCAGAAGAAATTCGAAAATTAAGATATTATAATTCGAGTGGACCTGTTGATATCATTTATGGTGAATGTTCATGTTTTGAGCGAGATATTTTATTGACAGAATTCAATAAAAATGATCGTAATCAAAATATTATTGGTCAACGACTATCGAAGAACAGTGTATCAAGTGTTATCATTGATGAAGTTGATAGTATGTTATTAGATAAAGCAAATATGGTACTGTATTTATCACATAATACTGACACATTAAAATCATTAGAAAGAATATTTATTTCAATTTGGCAAACGATTAATCAACCAACACTGGATGCTGTACGTGATCATATGATTGATGATGACTTAATTGAATCTGTTACTGATATTATACTTGATCAAATTGATCAGAAAGCTATCGAAATACCTGAATATGATTCACGTAATTGTGATTATATTAACATGCGATTATTTACTGAAAGACGAATGCCAGTTTGGATTCGAAGTGCATTTCATGTTCGAGACATGATTCCCAATGATACATATATTATTTCAAGAGATAAATCTGATAAATCATCGAAATCTGAAGTTCAAATAACTGTCATGGATAAAGATACAGGTACAGAACAATTATCAACACGATGGAGTAACGGCGTGCATCAATTTTTACAACTAAAACATATGAGAAGATTTACACCGGAATCATTGAAAGCTGGTTTTATATCAAATATGTCATTCTTTAAACGTTATCAAAATCATATTGTTGGTTTGACTGGTTCTTTAGGTTCAATCGATGAACAATTTCTATTAAATAAAGTATATCAACTTCGATTTTTTGAATTACCAAGATTTAAACAAGAATTATTTCGAGAATTAAAAGGTACAATGACAACATCTCAAGATACTTGGCTTGAAAGTATTAAAAATGCATTAGATAGAGAAATTAAATCGAAATTAGGAAGTAAAGATAGACGACGAGCTGTTTTAATTATTTGTGAAAATGTGAAAAATGTTTTAGTTTTAAAAGAATATCTAGCAAGTTCATACCCAAATGCTAAAGATTATAAAAGTGCTTATGAAGACTTTAAAATTGATCAATTAAATCCTGGTGATATTATTATAGCAACAAATCTAGCTGGTCGAGGTACTGATTTAGAAACATCGGATAAATTAGAAGAAAATGGTGGTTTACATGTTATAACAACTTATTTGCCCTCAAATATACGTATTGAAATGCAAGCATTTGGTCGAACAGCACGAAAAGGTAATAAAGGTACTGGTGAATATATTATTATTAGTCAGTATGGTCTTTCGATTGAAACATTAAAACAACTAAGAAATTGTCAAGAAAAAGAACGATTAGATTCTTTTCTTATTAATGATTTACCTAAAATTCAGATTGAAGAAGATTTATTACAAGGATTTACTGATGATAATCAGTTATCTTGTATTGGTTTTACAAAATTATATCAAAATATCGAAAAGAAACTATCAAGTGATCGCAGTGTTCAATATCATGGTTATCAATACAAACAATTTCAATTGAATAGTTTAAAAAATCGATGGGCATTTTGGTTAGATTCTATGACTGAATCTATTAATATGATTAATGTCATTGGTAAAAAAACAATCATTGAGAAATTCAATGAATTTCAATCGGCTATTGAAAAAGATGTCGAAGCAAATACTTTTGAAAAACTAATTATAGAACCATGTGAATTAATCAAACTAGGTAAATATTATCGAGATTGTGGAAATTGGTGGAAGGCATTGATATGTTATCAACAAGCTGGTTTGGATCGATTTTATGCATCGGCTAATTATTATACAAGCTCCTGTCGTCAAAATATCAATTATGTCAATGGTATTAACAGTAAACGTGAATTTAAACATAGTTTAATTCTTGTTAAACAGTCGATTGAAAAAGAAATGCAGTTTTTAAACAATGCTGCACAAGTTGCATTTGAAATTGGTGAAAAAAATCGTAAATTAGGTTTGGCTAATTATGGAAATGAATATGATAAACAAGTGAAAGAAAAATCAACTATTTGGAATATTTTTTCTGATACAGTTATTAATGCTCTTGGTACATCAATCGATCCGAAAGATTTGACAGCAAATAAATATCTATCGGATGAGAAACAAGCGGAAAAATTATTTGATAGTTTGAAAAAGAACAAGGATAAGTACATAAAATCGTCACGAATAACGAAAAAAACAATAAATTCACTTGAATTACCATCGATATTCAATAATAAGAAGACCAATGATTCTCTAATAAATTATTTACGCAAAAAATCAGAAATAAGATGTAGCAATGATTTGGATGAATTAAATGAAGAAATATTCAAAAAAGATTTGAAAAAATCGAAAATATTTTTACCAGATCTAAACAGTTTTATCGATTTAATTGAAAAAGAAAATGGTTTCATCGAACAAATTGAAAATAAAGAAGAAGACGAATTATTTTTATTTCAAAGTTTTAATGAGGAAAATTTGAATAAAGAAAAATTTCCTCATGAAATATTAAATATCAAAAAAAGTTTATTTGATTGGTTAAAAGAAATTTCAGAAGAAAAAGGAATGACAGGTACAAAAAATGATATTTTAATTAAACTCAATAATTTTTTAATATCAAAAAATCAACAAAATGTAACAGAAGATCAATGGACAAAAATTTATGGATTTTTAATTAAACACTCATGTTTACAAAAATTAAAACAATATTTAGTCAAAAAAGACAAAATAATGAAGCCTATAGATGGTGATTATAAATATTTTAATTTGTACAATTTTGAACATCATTATACAGATGAATTTGAAAAATTTGATTCAGTACTTCGACAAAATTTCTTGAAAATTTTTGTTATTCAAGAAGATCCTGAAGATGGTGAATCTTATATTACATTAAAAGAAACTATAAATACGAGTGATTTCAATTTATGTAAAACAAAAGAAGAAGCAATAAATTACCTATGGAGTTATTTACGAAGTACTCCGTTAATCAAACCACCGCGAATTAATATACCCCTAGAAAGCTTAAAAGAAGTTAATAGGAAAAGAAAAGGTATCGAAAAAGAAATCAAACTATTTCTTGAGCGTGAAATACCCAAAGACAAGAAAAACGAATTAGAAGAAGCTATTAAAGCCGTTTTTAATATAATTGATCAAACAATTGGGGATTTAAAGAAAATGCCTGACGATAAAACAATCACAAGTTATCTTCAAATCAAAACGAGTTGTTTTCTTGATAATAAAAAACGTATACCCGAAGCACTCGACGAATTCATTGACTTAGCATTCGATGTTATATTTCAGTTGCAAGAGAAGAAAGATCCACCACAATGGTATGAAATTGCTGCTGTTATTGCATTAGGTCTTCTCCAAATTGCAGCTGGTGTGCTAGCGACAGCATTTATACCTTTTGCCGGACAATTGATTGGTGAATTTTTAATTAGTACGGGATGTGATGATATTCTCTTTGGTATAAGCTGCGCCATGTCTGGTGAATTTAGCTGGGAAAAATATTGGGAACATAAAAAACAAAGTATGAAAACAAGTGCAATAAGTGCTGTTGTTTTTGTGTCAGTATCGTTTGTGAAAAATGCGAGACGATTACAAAGTTGCAAGAAAGCATGGGCTTTTCAAAAATTAAAAGGTGCACAAAAATTACGTACTGCTGCGGCTGCATTAAATACAACAGCAAATGTTAGTAAGTATGTTGGAAAAGAAATAGCAAAAACATTAGTTAAAACTGGTTTAGCTGAATTAGCATCGATGGGTATTAACAAAGTGCTGGATACATTATCGAATACTTATGAAAGTGAATTACACGGTAAAATTACGGATTCGCTCAAAAGCAAATGGAATATAATTGAAACTGAAATGTTAGAACTTTTTCGTGTAACCGAAGGAAAAAATTCAATGAAAATTATTGACGATTGTATCAATCGAAAACTCCAAAACTTATCTGAAGATGGTGCTTTTAAAAATTTTACACGTCGATGCGGTCCTGTCATTCAAGGTTTAGGAAAAGCATTAGCTGATGTTAATGGTACGAAAGGCAAAATCATAAATGCGCTTATGTCATATGCTCCAACATTAATTGGTTTAGGTATCAGTGTTAATGACATCATTTGTATGATAAGTAGTTTTATCCAGAGCCTAACAGCAGATTTGAAAGATGCGAGAAAAAGCTTGAAAAAAACAAATCAAGAATATCAACTAACAGAAGAAAACGAAACTGATTTCAAAAAATATAAGAAGGAAAAATTTGATCAAATATCCAGTTGTTTAAGTGAAAACTTTAATCAAAAACTTAAAAGTGGAATTCTTGCTCCAGTACTGAACTTCGCTTCGAATATGATGATTAGTCGAGGTATTGAATATGTTGCTGGTACAGATCGTGTCGAACAATTAGCAAATACATTTGAATTAATTCATGCAGCTTCAAATTCATCAGATACGAAACCGCGATATACAGAGAATTTAGCTATTTATCTAGCTGAAGCAAGACATATTGATATAACTCTATTAAATATTGATCCCAAAAACATTTATCCAGAAAATGGCGATGGGGAAAATCTAGAAAAACTGATCGACACAAATGGTAATGCATTGAAAGTATTTTATGGGAAAGATGGTAAATTTTATGTACAAATACCATCGCCAAAAAAATATTGTGAAGGTGTTCTAGATGATAAACCAGCAGGTATATATGAACAGAAAACGATCGATGTCGTATTAGAATGTGAAGTAATAAAAGGTAAGGTTATAAATGGTGAACAACAATGTACTTTAAAACGAAGAGGTGGTTCAGATGTTAAATTTGTTATTAAAGATAATGGTAATGGTAAGAAACATGCAGAATTACTAATCGATGGCAAATCAATTAGTATTGATACAAATCGTCAAAATAAAAACGATTGCTATTACGTTGTTGTATTAGTTGCTAATGAAGTATCACAAGGTAAATCATTTGAAGAAGCAAGAAATATTCTCGACGATAGAAATGCTGTTCTGAATCTACGAAAAAATGTTTCCTCGGTAATGAAAAATGATCCAGAATTTTTGAAAAAATTTGAATGGGCAAATCGAACTGATAGACAAGTTCATTATAACAGTTTAGTTGGTTCATATACAGATAGCGATGGTAAGTTAAGATTAAGTAACATGAATTTCACCAAGTTAAGAAATCGGGTGGCAACTAATGAGAAGGTATTGAAATTTGTAGGTGAGATAAGGAAAGAATGCGATCAAAGTGGCCAAAAAATAGACGTAGTTGATCACCATCTTGAGAGTGTGGTTGTGGGTGTAGCCCTAAGGATAACCCATATGCTGAGATTTTCCTTTCCTCTTTTATCCTGATTAGATAAATTTAGCTGCCAATGATGGTGCTTCGAAGTTGTTTTTCACCATCGTGTACTCTCTTTTTGTGGGTTGTGTTCAATTGCTTTCCTTTTTTCTTTTTGATAGTTTTATATCTTATATAAAGGCTTATATGTTCCGGATAACTATTTTGCTCGAAAATGTGCGGAAGATTTCAGGAGTCACACAACTCGAGGGATGAAGTTTCCATTGAGTGCTGAGAATTATTCTCGAGGGCATGTGAAGCAGCCGATGACTGCGACAAAACTACGTAGATTAGTTGGAATCTGATAAAATTATCTCATTATGCGAGTCATTTTCTATTCGTTAAAATTACAGTGTATGTTTGCAATTATCTTTTATTTAGGTAAAGGCGATATGAAGCATCTACTCGCTTCAATAAAAAATATAAACCCGAACAACGTTGAAGAGATGAACAAAAAGATAAATGAATTAGTCGACTATTATATTAAGTACCATGTCGAAAAGGATGCCAAGAGCAAAAAAGCAAACAATTCTGGACAACCTTCTAAACGAGGAGAACACATCATAAACGTTGGTCTTAAAAATATTGGTAAAGAAATTAAGGACAGATTTTTAAACGAAGTTGGTATCGAAAAGGTACCTGAAGGCTTACAAGAAGCTTTGAAGACATTCAATGTTACACCCAGATCAGATATTTCTAATATGACAGTTAATAACGTCCCACAATACAACAATAAAAATGCTATCGAGTTTGGTAGATCAAAAGAATTACTTATAGAATTTAGCTTGGGCTATATGAAGAACCTATACAAGCAGAATAATGAACTGCAAGCTATTGATACTACCATGAATAACACTAAAGAGATATATCAGACTGCATTAAAGGCAATAACTCAGAAAATGATCCGCGAAAAAATTTATGTGGATCAAGAAGCGTGGAAACATTTGTCTAATGAAATACACAAAAATAGAAGTAAGGGACATCAAAACAAGAGCCAAAAAAGCCATTTTGCCAAGTACAACGACGCGGTGAAAGACATAGAGGATCAGCTTAAACAGTTCGGACATTCACAAAAGAAGACTTAAGGGGACCCCCCCCCCTTTCCCGGGTTTCTCGGAAACGGCAAGCCGAAAATTCTTGAAATTTTCAGGGTGGATAGGTCTCGAGTAGTAGAACAAAAGTTGTAGCGGAAGAAAATTTGCCAAACCCCCCTTCATGGACTTTTGGAGACCCCAAGGTCCGAAAATCGCCTAAAGTTTTCCCCCCGGCAAATCCACAGATTTCATCCGTTTGACCTGAAATTTTTTTTGGTAATACTTCAACTAAATTGTGGGGTGTATCTTTTTTTTTTTTGAAAAATTCCAAAAACTCACGAAATGGGAAGCAAAATACTGAAGATCTCGAAAAATCTCTAGCATTTTAGGATCCTGTAAACTTTGCAAAACCTGCCAAATTTTTTTCGTAAAAGGTATCAACAAAAAAAAAATTATACACCCCACAAACTAGTTGAAGTATTCTCAAAAAAATTTTCAGCCCGATCGGACTTGAAATCCCCGAGAAAAAGGGGGGATACTGGTTCTTGGCACCCAAAAACCTAGTTTCGAGAAAAATGCAAAATACAAAAAAGTTTTAGAAAATTTTACTATTTTTCACTTATTATCACTTATACCCTATTTTTTTTGCTAATTTTGTGGTACAAAGGGTACTTTGAGATGGAGAATCCGAATCTGAGGTCGGTTTTAATTAATTAATTAATTATTAACTAGGTACTAATTAGTCTTTAATTAACGAAGAATTTTTTAAGATTGGAAAAGGTGTATTCGAATGTGAAAAATCCGAATTTGATGTCAGATTAATTTAATTAATTAATTAATTAAGCTTAATTAACGTTTTTTCACAAAAACTGAAATAACTCAAATTAGAACGGGGAACGTGAATCTGATGTTAGATTTAACTAATTATTAATTATTAATTAAGTATTCATTTATTAACTATCAACTTTTGTTATTTGTTCTTTATTAAATTATTATTTTTTATTTATTAAATTATTATTCTGTATTTATTAAATTATTATTATTAATTAATTATTTATTTATTATAAAACGTAACCAAAATTTCCGATGGAACGTCAGTAGAGATAAAAATATATAATTTTAGAAAATTGTTTTTCATCACAAATTGCTAAAATCTCCGGTTTTTGAGAGACCTGCAGGCCTTGAATGGTGCCGATTGTTGTAGTAGAGATATACTATATCATAATCTCACTTTTTATTTCAAAAAAAAGAAAAAAAAAATTTTTTCCATAGGTCTCCAAAAACCTGGGTTTTCAGAGACTTCCCGATCTGGGGGGGGGGCTCTGATTTTTATTGTATGGATATATCACATCATAGTATGACTTAAAATTAAAAAAAAAATTTTGTTCGATAGGTCTCCAGAAAACTTGGTTTTTCAGGAACTTCCTGACTTAGGGGGGTGCTGATTTTTATAGCACACCTAGAGGGGACCTTGATACACCTTTACATTAAATAAAAAAAAAATTTTAAAAAAAAAATTTTGGCTTGAGGAAGGGGGGGTCCCCTTAACATGATGGTAGCATAGCTACATCAATGAAGCACAATAGTGAAAGTATTATTGAATGCTTGTATTAATGAACTATTTTGTTTTAAATTTAATACTCCGTTTATCTTTCTTTATTTTCGTCGATTGATATAAATACACAAAACAATAGAACGATTTGTCCAAGCGTGACGCAACCTCGCTTTTATCATTTTGTACTCTGAGGAGGTGTGCGGATGTGGGTGTGGGTGTAGGCAGAGCTGGGCAAGTACAGACTGTCTGGAGTACGAGTACAAGCACGAGTACTACTGTTTCGAGGGTGACTAAGACGTTTGCCGTAGTTGGTAGGGAAAAAATCTATATTTAAACAGTCGAAATAAAAAGGGTTCTACTGTAAAAC